CACACACACACACACACACACACACACGTGTGTGTATTCATATCCTTGTGGGGACATCTCATTGACATAATGCTTTCCCTGGCCGCTTACCTTAACCATCAAAAATGAATGCCTAACCTTTACCCTAAACCTAACCAAAACCTCACTGTAACCCTGACACTAAAACCACATTTTGAGTCTCAAAAGTGCCTTCAATCCTCTGGGGATGGGCATTTTGGTCCCCAAGTATACAAGTATAGTAAACTTCCAATTTCTGGTCCCCACAAAGACATCTAAACAGGTACACACACACACACACACACTGCTGTGAAAAAGTATTTGTCCACTTTCAGATTTTGTTTCGGGTCAGATAACAAATTGTAATCTTAGACAAAAAAAAAATTATGATTTGATTTATTATGGGTAAAAAAAAAAATCTGTGTGAAAAGTCAGTGTTAATGATTTAACAATAAGAAAGAGACTGGGCAAGGCACGTCTCAGATTTGCCAAAAATGCCCTGATGATCTCCAAGACTTGGGTTAGGGTTGGGAAAATGTCCTGTGGAATATTACTCTGTTTGAGCTCTGTTACATTTTGTGTAAAAAAATGTAGCATCATCTCAGCAGACAGACAGGGCGGTGGTGTGATGGTCTGGAACAGTGTGAATTCTGCTCTCTACCAGAAAATCCTGAAGGTCATGCCCTGAAGTGCCAGCACATTTGAGTTATGAAGCAGGACAATGACAAAGAGGGGGCCAAAATTCCTCCCCAGTAATGCGAAAGACTCATTGGCAGTTATCGCAAACGCTTGATTGCAGTTCTTACAGCCAAGGGTGGCACAACCAGTTATTAGGTTTAGGGGGCAATTACTTTGTCACACGAGGCAAGGTCGGTTTAGATAACCTTTTCTTTCCCTCAATCAATTAAAACATAATTTAAAAATTGTTTTTAATTATTTTCTTGAGTCATCTTTGTCTAATATTGTTTAATGTATGAAACATTTAAATGTGACAAATATGCAGAAAACTAAGAAGTCAAGAAAGAGACAAATACTTTTTTCACCCCACTGCATATAATAATCACTTAATGGATGACACTTCCCATGTGTATATGCCATTATTCAGATAAAAAAACATTAGTCTGACATTTTTCAAAGCTAATCATAACACATATACAACTACTCTCCTCTACAGAAACATCTGCACAGATGGAAATGGTACAATGGCTAATCGTTGTTGAATGAGTTATCTTTAAATTGTTGTGGCATTTTTCCCTCGATGCACCTGTTAACCATTCAAATGTACAGAGGTTTTTTTGAACTATGAAATCATTCACTGAAACACTGTTTTAAAGATGTGCCTTTATCCTTGTTAGCACAATATAATTCTTTTACACTGAAATGTGTGTTCAGGAAAATGCTAATATTACCTTCAGGATAGGTGTTCCATGAATGTTTCTTTTGTCTGTATTATTAAAAAAATACCATTACAGTTTCATCTTATCTGAACTTTACAAGCTTCTTTATTCCTTAATTAAGCAGGCCTAGATAAGGGTCGCTGATTCCCTGGCTGGTCGTTAGGGGAAAATGCGTACGCTGCAACCAGTTTTGAATGGATGCTAGAGGTTGCTGGCAGTCACTAAGGTGAACGTGATCAAAAAGACGTATACAGTGTTGCACTGAAAGCCTCCTCACCATTGCTTTGGTCGCTAGCAGGTTGCTATGGTCACTAGTAGTCACATGGAAGACTAACTTGTCTTCAAACACTCATCATTTACTCTAGAAAAAGTGTGACACAGACATCCAGTGGGCTAAGCTTTTAGCTTTTAGCTTAAAAGTAAAAGCTCTCAAAGTTTTTGTATTAGCATAACCATTTCCACTTCAAGTTTTAGCTATACTTTCTCAATTGTTTAAAGTTTTGTAAGTGCTTGCAGACAAATCATGCAAACTATGGGAGACCATGGCAGTCTACTAGTGACCAAAGCAATCACAAGGAAGTTTTTCGTGCAGCACTTTCTTTGCAACCGATTTCACATGGTGATAGCAAGCAACCTCGGGCAACCATTCACCACTCAGTTGGCTAATAGACTTTTTCCGCTTGCAGCTAGAGGTTGTCAGGGGGTTACTGGCCCCAAGACCTGTGTGACTGAGGCCTTAGCCACCTAGCTAGGTAGCTTGTTTAGCTAACCCTTTAGCTAAATAAATCAAACACAGATTTTGTTAGCATGCAACATCAATCAACTATGAAATGCCCGTGGCACAGATTCTAGTTTTGTGTTATCATTCAGCTTCATTATAAGTTATATTATAAATTCCTATTCATTTTCTCCATTGAAGTTTCAGAAACTCCGTATAAAATCCGTTTTGAACGTACCCAGCCAACTATCAGGTGAATCATGACCATAAAAAGAATTTTGATCTGCATCAAAAAGAAAAAGAAAAAGAAAAAGGTCAAAGGTACAAAACTTTTTCAAAGTAAAGAAATTACAACTACTGCCAGTCCCAAATGCCACAGCTTCCAGCCTTCCTAAATCCTAGTTATGGGATAGTTACTAGTTACTATAGTGTTGCATAACAATATTTTATCCTAATAAGTTTTAAATATTTATAGTTTTATAGTGAAGTGCAGTCTATGTACTGGTATAGTGCAGTGCTACATTCATGACTGTACACGGTTTCTGAACCTGATTGCGACAAGTTTAAACATCTATGGTAATAGTAACTCCACCAATCAGAGACATTGAGTTTAGAATATACGATTATAGATAAAATGGTTCTTTTCCAAAGCATCGCCAATAAAACAAGTCTTTGTTAAAACGAGGCTTCTGCATATACGATTGTTTCACAATGTCACAGCTTGTATTAAGTTTACTTTGGATGGTAACAACATAATTACAACACGCAACCATAATAAATCTTTACTTGAGGAAAATTGAGCTCAATATGTCATACTCCCGTCTTTTTATGAGAGACTATATTTCACTTGCAAAACAATTTAAAATAAAATTTGGCTTCTGGAAATTGTGTAATTAGATTTGTTCAAGTTTCATCACATGAGATTTGATTCAGTTACAAAAATCGCGTGTTATTAAAATGATCTGTATCAGAGTTCATGGGTGACTTCATGTAAAACCGTGCTTCTCAGCTCTTGTCATGGTTTATTTGGGTAAACTAATGTCTCAGAATTATCAGCAGGAATTCGTTTTATGTTTAATGCACATATTTCAAGCTTTGCGGTGACTGTGAGGATAGTTTGGAGCAAAGTGGGTGTTACTGACAGCCGTGGTGCCGTGCAGAGGGTGTCACAGCAGCGTTGTTCCTCAGTGAGCAGTGGGAGTGTGGAGCTGCTGGCTGATAGATCACTCTGACATCTGCTTCATTCAGCCCTCAACAACGTTGCTACAACAACCAAACCGTGCCCCACAAAAATGTTCCTCCTCTCATCGAGAGGCCAGGCTGCCATTAACAAAATGGTAACCATGAAAATCCCAGATAAAATCTGCATGCTGTTTATTTTCTGGAAATGGCAAAAGGGGAAGAAA